GTGGTCGGGCGTCACCAGTCTCGATGCGGTGTAGCAACACGTCGGTCTTGCCCGGGGTTTCCGTGAACATCGTTGCGAACGGCTGCAGGATGCTCTCGAGCTGCTGCTTTTGCGAGCTGGTTGCTGGGCACGCGTTGAGGGCGTCTCGGATGCCATCAGGAAGAACTGCAGCTGGCCGCGCTGTGTAGTGGGTCGGAAGGGTTGCGCCGGTGACGCAGTCTTCACGTCCGGTGAAGGGGGTCACGTGTGGCTGGTTGTCCAGCCGATACCCGCCGGCAGCAAAGTCGAGCGAAATTTTTTCGTCTGCAATGAAATCTCGGCCCAAGATAACAGGTACGGCCAATCCTGGCAGATAAAGGAAACGCTGACGCCGCGTTTTTCCGTCGAAAGAAATCCCCAGCCTTACTGCGCCTGCTGCTTTTGTTTGCGCGCCTGATGCTAACTGCAAAAGCGTGCTCGAACAACGGAGCTTAACATTTTTTGATTTGCAGAGTTCAAAAACGACGTCGCCGATAAGCGAAACTCCCGCGCCGGTATCGAACAGGGCGGCGAAAAGAACTCCGAGCAGAGAAATCGTTATCCTAGGCTCGATGCTGTGGTTCGTAGGTCGTACTCGACATACAGAAGGAAGTATTGCCGGCGACTTACATTTCCCGGGGCTGGTGGCGGCCTTGGGCGGCGAGGTCTCCGGGTTCAGCGCCGCGGGCCGCCTCGGTTTCCCTGGTCAGGCAGTTCTCGCTGCTCACGGGGCCGCCGTTGTGGGCACTGGCTGCGGAAGTGGCCACGCTGTCCGCAGTTGTAGCAGGCGTCATTCTGCCGCTGGGTTCCCACGTTGCCCCGTTCACTCCCACGTCGCCGGTTGCCTCTCGGCTCCGCCGGGTCATTCCCACGTTGCCAGCCGCCTCTCGGCTGGCGCTGGGGCCTTTCGGCCATCTGAAGATCTCGCCGAGGGTCATGCAGCCAGCTTTCGCTGTCCGGGAACTGCAGCCGGCCCCTCTCGGGGTTTCGCGGCACCCGCGGCGGGCTTCCACCCAAGTGCGGGCCCTGGGGGGACCAATCCCAGGCGCCTGGGGCTTCCCTCGGTCGGGAATTTAAGCTCACGCTGACCCCAGCCGGTGATGCAGCACCGAGCCTCCCGTCGCCATCCCGAGTGCACTCAAGGGTGTCCAGGGCGCGGGGCAAGTAGGCGTAGGCGCCGACCCTTTCGGGTGGGCGGTGAGTCGGAGGGGTGCGTTCCAGGGCGGTGCGTGCAGGTGGCGACCACGCGCACGATGGTTCGAGGGCTTCTGTGGCGGGGGGCGGCGGCCGGTAGTCCACGCTGGCCAGGATCATGTCTTGCACGCCGCGCGCCGCACGAACGAGGTCTTCCACGCTCTCGAACCGCCGCCCCTGAAGATAGACGTGGTAACGGGGGTGGCTCTGTCGGATGATGCGTGCAACCCTCTCCGACTCGGGAGCAGCTTTCGCCGCTCGGTTGAACAGCTCCTGCATGGCCCGGATGTATTCGACGAGGCCTTCCTCTGGATGCTGGGTACGTCGTTCGAGCTCCCGCTGGACTCGGGAGTCGTACCCCGGTGGCAGGAACTCTTCTCGGAAGCTACGGTGGAACGCCTCTAGGGACGGAAAGGGAGTTTGCAACACCCACCATCGTCTCGCGCTCGCTTGTAAGGCGAGGGGCAGGATGCGCTCGAGCACGTAGCTCTCCGAGGCGCCGGACGCTCGGGCGTAGACGTCCAGCTCTTCCAGGAAGTCGGCGACGGACTTCCTGTCGTCGAACCCCGTGTACACGAGGACCGTGAGCCGAGGGTGAAGCTCGGGCCCACGCTGCTGCACATGGCCGCCGGCTCCTCCCGTGCCGGTTGCGAGGCGCTCCGTCACCAACTGGAGGGTGGCGGACATTCGGGCCATGAGCGCCAGGACCTCAGCGGACGACGGACCGGGCTCCGCGTCTTCTTCGCTGGAGTCGCTGTGGTCGGACGGGGGCTGGGACTGTTTCTTGGGAGGCATGGAAAAAAGAAAAACGCGCGACAAGGGAAAAAAACAGCACACGCGAACACGAGGGAAGAAAAAAAAACGCGCCAACAAACTACGCCAAGAAAACCGCACCGTCAGCGACGTGCAGACCGCGGTGATAGGCGAGCGCGCAAAAAGTCACAATGAATAAGAAAAACACGACGCGATATAGAAAAATGAAAAACGCGAACCGCGACGAATCAACGACCGAAAAGAGATTAAGAAACGCAAAGTAGAAGAAAGGGAGGACGAACCGTCTGGTCGAGATCACCGACGACGGACGACAGAGTCCACGTTGGGCGCCAGATGTGGCGTTCGCCTTCCGCCGTCCGCCGCAGGCGATCAACCAGACGACTCGTTCTTCGGGGTCAAACAGGGTTTATTACCATGACTCTGGTCCAGACTCGGGGCAACCACTGCCCTCGGCCACACGGGCCATCCCTTTTTCTACCCTGTCGGCGCCGGGTGCCGCCCCCCCCGCTAGTCGCCGGTTTGGCCGCCGTGTGGCGGGCCGAGCGCCCCACAATTCTTAATTAGAGCAATGGCCCTGACCAGCAGCACGTGATCGCAGTGTCTCCAGCTCCTTAGATCAAAGTCAAATTTGGGGCATCTTGCACGCCCAAGGGGAGGTCTGAGGATTAATTTTGAATACCTGGGGATCTTTTGACGTGCAGCCGAAATCTCTGCCCTCTCTGCCAGCGTGTGTGCAACACGACTGGGATTCAAACCCGCCACCTAAGGGTCCGTAGGCCAGTGCCTTGCCTCGGAGCCACCGAGGCACTCCTTAAAGGGATTGTCCGGTCGAAATCGGAAGTACTTAAGTTTTTGTGCGTGTTACGTCGAGGGAGCCTTCATGTAGACAAATAACATTTTTATTTTGAAATATGATCTCCCGTTATTAATTAAACCCGAGCATATGTACGAAACTGCACCCCGAATTTCACCAGTGTCAATGGCTGACATCCGTAGCTGCTGCGTGACGTCGCAAAACGCAAAGGTTTGTCGGATGTTCGGGATAACAAGGGTTGGTCGATGGATGTTTTGTATTTTGTCTTGAATTATATAGTCTCCTAGGCCAGTGGTTCTCAAATGGGGGTCTGCGAAGCCCTGCCTCATCAGTCAAGCCCGGCAATAAAAGTTGTCTTTTTTTTTTTCTTTTTTCAGGTCGAAAAGAAATGTTTCAGTTTTTGGGCGAGTTTTTTTCGTGTGAACGTCAATAAGAGAGGTCTACTTCTCACTAGCCCTTAGTTATATCCATTTATTAAACCATTATTATATTTAACACACCTTTCCTCTCCTCTCACCACGAACGGGGTCCTCCATCATCTCCGCTGATCCACAAGGGGAAGCGAAACACCGATGTTTGAGAACCCCTGTCCTAGGCTGTACCTATACTGAAATACGGTTTCTTTATTGCTGTTCCCAAGTGTGTGCATAAAAAGTCACGCCCTTTAGCAGGATATTACTCGAAAACAGCCATAAGCTTCAATCAAACGTATGCCGTTTCGCGCAAACACAACTGCGACGGCCACCGATTGAATTAGGAGCGCTTGCAAAGCAAAGGATGTAGATTTCGCCTCTGAAGCGGCAACTAGGTACACCAAGCGGTATCTGGGTACACATATCGGCAGATCCACTGGATCTGTGATGAGGCTGCGGGTCTTTTCCTCAGAGGCGATGACAGCGGGTCGAAGGCAACCGGCGAATCGTTCAAATGCATGTCGTCACTTTATTTGGACGAGCTTGGTGAATCGTAGCCACGCTCAATTTGCACATGCTGGTCAAACAGAATTTGGCTACAGATGTGCTAAATACGGTTTACTACGCTTGATAAAATGCCATTTCGTCGAAGCCCTTTTTGGAGAATGGGCACGTTTTATCGAAGTACAGTTTAGAGAAAGCAGAGCCTCAGTTTAGAGAAATGCCGTTTATCGAAAAGGGGATGCTATTTAAAAAAGGTTTTTCTACTTCGCGCGTGTATCACTGGTGCGCGAGTTAACCTAAACCCCCGCTGCGCTCCCGCCGCTTCGCGGCGGCAGTCTGCAGCGGCTGATTACAAAAATGTTAAATCACCTGACTTACCCGCACATGCCGCTTCGCGGCGGCTGAATTCGCTAAAAGGAGGCTCATCGCCATTTTCTCTAACGTGGGTTTCTCTATAAAGGAATTCGATAAACTGGGGTCGGTAAAACGGCGTTCGCTAAAACGAGCTTCCCTAAACCGCATGACTCTGCTAAATACAACTTCTGGTATCGTTTCAAGTGGTCTTCGGTTTCGGTTTCGCTGCATAAGCAAATTGATTGATCCGATCTGGGCGAAGAGTGGATGGACGTAGTTTAACATCGTTGGCACAGCATCACACCTCAGCTTACGAGACTTCTGTCCGCTTAGAGCTCAGCTCGTAGCTCTCTTCTGTGAGATAACTGCTGCATAAGCGAGATCTCGATCTTGACGGGTACCCAGTCTACACACGTCGAAGATCCACTTTGCTCGTCACTGCAGAAAAGTGTGGAACGTCATGTCTTGGTTCGCATGCGCTGCCCGGTGGTCGTGGCACCCAACTGCGCAACAAAAAGCTCACCCAACCTCGAAACAAGTCGAGCGCAACAACAAAAACGAAGCACGCTGAGAGGCGTTCACTTGGAGGTAAACGGGTAAACAACGAGACAGAAAACAGAAATGCTCCCTCTGTGTTGTGTGACGTCAGAGCTCCCATGTTGCCACCGCAAACAGCGTTTACGCTAGGGTGCGATTGGAGCAGCATAAATTCAATTACTCATGCAGAGGGGCATATAAACTTCAGATATTGCACGCACGATGCGCCTCGAGGCAACAACAATGATATTCAATTGTTTTCTCGAATACAAAATTTGACCGAACAATCCCTTTAAAACAAAGAAGCTTGTTTGTGAACATTGAGTTGGCATTTATTCTTAGGGATTTCTCAGGTTTGTTTCCTCCAGCATTCTTTCCTTTCTTATTTTCAGATGGCGGGCCCCACTACAAAGACTGGCCTCAAGATCACCATGTTCCAGTACCAGACGTGTCCGTTCTGCTGCAAAGTGCGTGCGTTTCTCGACTACTACGGCATACCATACGACGTGATCGAGGTGAATCCGGTTCTGCGTCAGCAGCTCAAGTTCTCGGAGTACAAGAAGGTGCCCATCTTGCTTGTGCAGGAGGGTGGCAACTGCTGGGTGAGTGACGCCGAGCCCCACAGAACACTTCTTGGAACCCGACTTTTGATTGGGCTAGTTGGTTTGTATTGGACATGATGGAAATAGCGCAAACTTGACAAGGACAAAAAAGGCGCACGTACGACAATGCTGGCTCTGATGTCCAGCTAAGTTTATTGTGTCATCCAACCAAGCAATATATACCATTGCCTGCAAACATAAAAAAAACAAAAAAAAACTGTTATATATTAAGATTAGACATATACCACGCCCCTATCTTCAAATAAAACCATCAAGAAAGGATAATTCTTTGTTAGTGAGACACACCGACCTGACAGCATGCTGATGCACTTGTCTCCCGCTTTTTTTTTTTTATAAAAAACGAAAAGACAAATTATAGAGGCATTTTTTATCAAAAAAGCAGGAGACAAGTGCATCAGTATGCCGTCGGTGTGTCTCAGTGACAAAGAAAGAGGTGCGCCTAGAAGGCGCGTCTCCTTGAACTTAGACGCACTTCTGCTGCAAGAATGGCGATATGCAGCTGTTGGCTGCACCGAGTCATCGCTAGGATTGGAGACCTCTCGTGAACGTTCCCTCGGACGGTCATTAGGGCACCGATCCTTTTGTTCGATGCATTCTCCACAGGAGAAAGGGCTGGAGTAGACTCGTTCTTTTTTACGAAGGACAAACTGATTTCCATATTTTTTGGGGTGCACAGGTTTGGTGGGGATTGAGTGTTGACTTGCCGGCACATCTGTTTGAGCTTAAATTTACATTTAGAGACAACTCATGGATTGAAACATGAGGCAAGTGCCTTGAGACAATGTGCGGTGTTGTGTGTGTATGGTATACGACTGTGAATTGTTTCCCGTGCAATCGGGGCATGAGGGGTGGCAATGAGCCTCTTCAGAGGCTCTTTACACATGCAATTGTTATAAATAAATAAATAAATATATATATAAATAAAAATCTTTCACTTTAATTTTTTATTTTTTTATTTTTTTTATTTTTTAATTTGGTCATGTGTATTGCCAATTCTCTTGCATATTTGAACTGATTGCTTCACAGGTGGTTAAATGAATAATGAAAAACCATGAAACTTTTTTTTTTGTTCATAATAAACTCATGACATTTGTATGCCATTGAAAAGGTATTTGTTTTTGTTTATTTGTGTTAGATTTTGGTGAGCAAAGCATTGAGGCTCAGATTTTTCTTACCATGACTACCACTTTTTTCTCTCAAAAATGGACAGTTGGACGGAGTGCTGTTCAGAAAGCCATTTTCCCTAAGCTAAAAATTGTAGAAATATATCTTTAACAATCAGTAATCTTTTCAGTGAAGGTTACTGTGGGGCTGAACAAAATAGCCATGGATGAAGCGAACAAAATAAAAGATAAGAATCCCTGCAGCCGACAACCACTGTTGGTACTTGACAGTTCCATCATGCAGTCATGTGACGTCATGAAAGAAAAGAAAGATCATCTGTCCCCACTTGTAAGCTACCGCTTCATCATAGCTGGGAGAGGGGGTGGGGACCATTAAAAGGACCATCCTGTGGTTCTTTTAACAGTGTGTTGGTGAGGATAAGTCACCTCACAGTCACACTATTAAGAGACGAGGCTTGGAAACTCTTTTAGTGAGGCCATGTTTCATTGCTCATCAAGGACACAATCTCATTGTGTGACTTCATCAAAAAAAGTGAAGCAGTAACTGAACAGATGTGTCAGCTGCACTTGAGATCTTGCCAGTATCCTTTCTGCTCTGCTTTTTCTCTGGGGAAACGGAGCAGGTGCTTTGTTTTTTTCTATACATGACTTGCACTGACGTCACATCAGTGGCCATTCTAGCACCCTTGTTGCGGATTGCATTCCTTCTGCAGCCTACATTTCGTATCATCCAATTAGTTTTAGAGCGCAGCTCTTAGGGGCCCGTTCCCGGCTTGAGCGGCGTCGCCGTCGCCGTCGGCGTTGGCGTAACCAAGGTCACCCCAAGGTCACGCGACCCCCAAGGTCACGTGACCCCCAAGGTCACGTGCCCTCCCAAGTCACGTGACACCCCCGAGGTCACGTGACACCCCCCTGAGGTCACGTGACCTCCGAAGTCACATGACCCCCTGAGGTCACGTGACCCCCTGAAGTCACGTGACACCCCCCGAGGTCACGTGACCACCCCCAGGGTCACGTGACCCCCCGCCGAGGTCACGTGACCTCCCAGATGACGTCACCGGCATCCGCATCGTCGTCATCATCACGGATGACGTCATCAGTGACGTCACCGACATCCGCATCGTCATCGTCATCATCGCTGATGACGTCATCGGAGTCCGCATCGTCATCGTCACTGATGACGTCATCAGTGACGTCACTAATGACATCATCGGCATCGTCACGTGACCCCTCAATGTCACGACCCCCCAAGGTCACGGGACCCCCCCAGGTGACTTCACCCCTCCCAGTACCCTTCCCTCCTCCTCCTCAAGAGCTGCGTTCTAATTCGGTGTTACAGTAAGTTGTAAACGGCTTTCACTTTTTTTCTTGGCATGGACAAGAAAAAATGAGCTCCAACATAATTCAATGATGTCATGTGCTACCCACATATAATCTTCAGCTTGAGTACCCGTATTTACTCGCACAATGAACGCACTCGCGTAATGAACGCACCCCCCAAGTCGGCTCTCAAAATTTCAACTTTTTTTTTCACTCGCGTAATAAACGCACCCCCAACTTGGACGTCAAAATTTTGACCCCCTCCCCCCACGCGCGCGAAATTAACGCACTTTTCTATCCTGCTGCAGCGAGGTCGCGAATGCATGGGCAGTGGGCGAACAAAACGCCTTGCAAAAGGCGTTAAAAAAAATTCGCAAAGATCCAACGGAAGCAAAAAAAAACATGGAGAGGAGCTTTTTTTTTTGCACAGCGCAGTCTGCATTTTAGGTTCGCGCGCCGCCGCGCGCAAGGAGGTAGGAGAGAAAAGCGCTCTAAGCGAACAAAACAGCTTGCGAAAGGCGGCAAAAAAAGAAAAAGAAAGACTCACGGAACTGAGAAAACAAAAACACAAAGGAACTTTTTGTTTTTTTATCCTCTTTTTTTTTTTTTTTTTTTTTGCACAGCGCAGTTGGTTACGGGGGGGGGGGGGGGGGGGGTCGCGCACAGCGCGCAAGGAGGTAAGAAAGAGGAGCCGAGAAGTCCTCTAAAGCGCGATCCAAACCAACGCTTCTTTTTGCGCCTGTAGGCAGGGTTACCAGATTGGGCTATTAATAGCCAAATTGGGCTACTTCTTTTTTTATTTGGCGTCAAAATGTGGTGGTTGGCTATGTGGCTATTTTTGGGCTATTTCAAATCATGACGGAGAAAAATAATTCAACATGACAAACATTGAGACTGCGGGCAATATAAGGGGACACGAAGACACAGAGGTCTCTATTATTTATTTTTCTTGTGCTTGCTCTAGGGTAGAGAGATAAAAGACACTTTAGGATGGACACAAATCAACAGTCCATTTTTTACGGATTCCTGCTTTCAAGGTTTTCTGTGAAGATGCGTAGGCATGACGTCAGGACCACGGCTTTGACCTAGATTCAGTTCTAATGGCATCGCTTCTGCATTCATTGTCGCTTATCTTGTGCCTCCAAGTTCACACAAAGAAGGGCCTTGCCCCTGCATCCTCCTCCCTGACCTTTCTTTTCATCACCCTACCATTTCCTAGGAAAGAAGTGGATTGGAAGGCTACATCTAGGTCAAAGCCGTGCAAGGGCAACTCTTCGATATTGATGAAACGAGTAATCATGCCGAATTACGCATCACCCGAATGCGCGGACTGGGAAACGAATGTGCTTCATGTACGTGCATGTGGCTTCGGAAGTGTTTTTCTGAATACTCTTGAACAGTCCTCGCTTTGCGAGAAGGACAGAATTGCGCTCTTGGAAGTATGTCGGAGGTTTGTGATTGCGTGTATCAAAAGTGTGATGAAACGCCTCCCTGCGAACATGCAGCTTCTCAACGATTTGTTGTTTCTCAAGGCTGGCAGCATCACACAGTTTTCTTTTGACAGTTTTTACAAAGCGTTTTTGCCTTTTATACAGACTTCGGTGATCTCGGCCATGGAGTCCGAGTACAGGCTTCTCCAGACGAATATCAGAGATCTGTCTGATGATTGTTTAGAGCTATTTTGGAAAAATGTAAGGGAGTCCCAAAACCTAACTGGTTTTGGCAATTGGTACCAATTGGAAAAGCCAATTGGAACCAATGGGTATTTTTAGCTGGGGAGGCAAGAAACAGCTCTGGGGCAGCCATGTTCCCGTTGCTCTCTGCGCTTGGCACCGCGCTTTTGACACTACCCATGTCAAATGCCGCCGTTGAGAGGGTGTTTAGTTAGGTGTCCCTCACGAAGTCGGACCTCAGAAACAGATTGTCCCATTCCACCCTGGAAAGCATCCTGTTTGTGAAGTTCGCATTCCTTGGGAAGAAAGAGTGCTGCAAGGACTCCAAGCCCACAGAAGAATGTTTTGTGCGCTTCAACTCGCAACTGATGTATGAGGTCAGCCAGCCCTGCACGAGCGATTGTTAACTCTATGTGACTCTACAAACGTGTGTCAATACTTAAAAATGCCGATACTTTTTTGTGTGTGTTTTTCCAATAAAATGTTTCATATACATTTCAAGATGTTGCTGTTCTTGGAAGCTTCTTCTACGCAATATATGCAGATGCAGTTCCGGCTCCAGTTCCTACTTGCGAGAGCATAATTTTGAATTTTGTGGACCCTGACACTCAGCTGTTTTTTGGCTACTTTTTGGCTATACAAATTTTTTGCATTTGGCTACTTTTGGGCTACACCGTTTGGCATTTTGGCGGTTTGAGCTAAACCTACCTGGCAACCCTGCCTGTAGGTCGTGCGGCTGCGGATGTGACGTATTTTCGTGACGTCGCGCCGCTTCTTCGCTCCTTCCGGGCGCGCACAAGAAAGTTGGATAATTTCAACTTCTTCTCAACGCGCACAAAAACGCGCGGTGACGTAGTAGGGCGCTCCTGTGTCCCGGCCAATCGGTGGAGGGCAAGCTAGTTCCGGCTCCGCGTTTCTCGCCGTCTGGCTGCCCTCTCCTCCCCCCCCTTTTATTCTCTTCCAACATGACAACGCAATCTCTCTCTCTCTCTTTCTCTCGCCGTCTGGCCGGCCAGTCTGTCGCCAGGGTTGCCACTGGTGGCTACTTTTCGCCAAATTGGCTACTTTTGGGGGCGCTTGGCTACTGAAAATTACGCTTGGCGATTTGACGAATTTTTGGCTACTTTAAGCGATCCGCTGTGGCTCTCAGCAGTATCGCACAGGCACGTTTCCGGTCCAAAATGGGCTTGTTCTGCAAGTTGGGTTCATGCACCTTTAAATGCTGGACACGGGCAGACTGATTGAAAAGAATACAGACGCATGGAGAGCATTTACCTGGACCCTGCACAAGCTGACTTTGGGACGGCATTTTCAGAACGGCTTGCTTCGAGCGGACTGCCTGCCGAGGAGCTACTGTGCATTCATGTTTACGATGCAGTACGATGCTTTCAGTATTTGGAGAAACTGGCGAGTCAAGTGCAAACGCGCAATCCTAAAGAAACATCTGCACTCCGCAGGCTTCAATCAGTCAGGCCGGAGATTGTAATGGGGTCCAATGCTTGCCGGGAGATTTTTAGTTTGCCTTCGCACCTTCTCAGAACCTCTAGGAATGAGCTGGAAGCGGAGATCCGACTACTGTGGTCTGCTTTTGCCACGAACGAGACGAGCTCTGCGTTTAAAAGGGCCCTGCAAGGTCTTTTTTAGTGTTTTTTTTTTAATTTGCACCGAACCTGAGTGCACTGAAGGTAGTAACTTAATGAAACTTCCTTTTCTCTAATTTTGCTTTATTTTAAAAGTTATGGGCAAATTAAAATTATAAAAACAAGCAAAAAATAACCTTCATGCTTGAGTGGCCGTGAACTAGAGGAGGAGTAGTGAGCTCAGAGAGCGCTCACGGCTGCCGCACTCCGTGTCGACGGCTCGAGAGGGCGCCACTAAAGCATGTCCTGGATAGGCTGTTTGAAGCGGGCAGCCAGGGCGGCTCGCGTTGCATTTGCTGCGCGATTAAACACTAATTAGGCATGACACTTTATTGGCCACAAACGAACGCAAGCACGGGGTAAAGATCAGTAAAGAACGGGAACCACTTAGCTCTGCCATACCGCCAACGGGCAAACCGCAAGCCAAACCTTCTCGCCGAAGGCCTTCGGAAAGCTTGCAACCGGTCGGATCCTAGCGAGCCCGTACACGACCGCAGCGCCGCCGCCTACATCTGGGACCTTTCTACGCTCGCTGCTCGTTGGTGCCTAATCCCACTACACCTTTCTAGTATGCGCTGCCTTTTCCACCGCATGCTGGCGGGTATGTCGACGGGTAATTTCTTGTCCCCGACTTTATAAACTGCATTTGTTTCTTTTCAGATCTAAAATACTTACAAAAACTACTTTTATAAATGACTGAAACGGTTCGCGCCACTTATATTTTGTATTTCGACTAAAAGGAAGCTTTTAGCGGCTCTGACCAGTAGCAAGCCCAGGACCAAAGACTGGCCGCAGTTTGAACAGAGCGCTCGCTGACCTAATGCCGGCCCTGGGTGGAAGAGGTTTCCGCGTCGTCTGGTTAAAATATGACGCACTGATATTTAGTTGCTCTTTCTGTGCCCGCTGGCTTGCCTGAACCCCAAGAGACGTGGAAACCACAGACGCCGTCAAACTTCTGACACTTCCAGTTCCAAATGCCGAAGCAGACTATTCTCCCACATAGCGCTGACCAACACGGAGCTTCGCAATAAGATTAAGCTTGACCTTCTGGAGTCCATCCTAAGAATAAAGTTTGGCCTCCGTCTGCAGCAGAGAACATCACATACATACACGGTTACAGATGAAGTGCTCCAGAAAATGACTGCAAACTATTCTTGGGCCAGCAGAATCTTCTAGAACTTCGCTGCAGTGTTTGATATATGCAATATTAGCAATTGAAGTGCTTCACCCTCACGCTTGTAAACTTGTGATATAAAGGTTTAATATAGTGTTTTTTTATTTCTTTTCTGTTTTTAATACCTTTATATTGCACATACTTGGTGTGGCGACTTTTGGGCGAAATCCCAAACGAAATGGCTACTTTTGGCTACTTTCTGCACGTGATTTGGCTACTTTGACTCTAAACCCAGTGGCAACCCTGTCTGTCGCAGTTGCACTTTGCTTGTGCGCTCGTGCCGAAGTTTCGCCCGTCCAAACCAAAGCGCACGGTTCTGACTCAGAAAGCGCGCCCGGAAACAGCAAAAACGCCACGAAATGCGTCACATCCGCAGCCGCACGACCTACAGGCGCAAAAAGAAGCGTTGGTTTGGATCGCGCTTAAGCAAACGAAACAGCTTTCGAAAGACGGCAAAAAGAAAAAAAAAAAAAACACGGAACTGAGAAAAAAAAAAAGAGGAGCTTTTTTTTCTTTTGCACAGCGCAGTTTGGTTACGAGGGTCGCGCGCCGCGCGCAAGGAGATAAGAAAGATAAGCGGAAAGCCCTCGTCTAAGCAACGCCTAAGCAAACAAAACAGCTTGCAAAAGGCGGCAAAAAAAAAAAAGGAACTAAGAGAAAACGAAAACAAAGAGGATTTTTTTTTTTTTTTTTGCACAGCTTAGTTTGGTTATGGGGTCGGGCGCCACGCGCAAAGCTATAAGAAGTTACTTAGATTTTTCAGGATAAAAGGTCCGTTCATTATGCGAGTAAATACGGCCGCAAAAATTTTACTTCGCGTAATGAACGCCCCCCCCTAACTTTGCATCGATTTTTCGGAAAAAAAAGTGCGTTCATTCTGCGAGTAAATACGGTATGTGACAGCAAGAGTGGTGCACCTTTGCCTGCTTATCGATGATTTTTCCCAAACAACAGACCAAAGAAACTCCCATTGCTTCATTCTCCTGTGCAGCAAATCAATGACTCCACGGTGATCATCAGCATGCTGCAGAGCTACCTCAGCGACATCAAGGCTGGTTTCCAAAGGTACCTGGTCCTGTACGATCCAGTCAAAGTGACGGACGCTTCGGGAAAGGAGTCTCTCGAAGTGTTCAACAAGTACAACCTTATGATGGACAATGTGCCGGTCACAGGAAAAGCTGCCGAAGAGCTCAAGTAAGTCCCGCATTTTTAACCCGTGCTCATCAGTGCCGTAAAAGCGCTGTTGCAAGTTTGTACTTTTACTCCTATTACGAGAGTACTGAAAACGAATAGGTCAGACTCCTACTTGTGAAGGAGAAATATAACATTGTTTTATATTCTAATATAGAAAAATGTTTACTTCTATAAAGTTATAACATATAGAATAGGATTGCTATGGGTGCTTGATGTGCTATTAAGTATGACTTTGCACCCTAAAAGCAAATCTTGGGAAGTTTTTTTTTTTGCTTTGAAGATGGATAAACGTATAGTACAAAAAGGAACACAGAAAGAAGACTGATGTTCAGTTGTACATGCAGACACTAAGCTTGGTCATTCACAGTACAAATAAAAAACTTGCCTTGTGTAGTGCAAGCAAGCAAACCACATAAAATGTATATGGTAATAGTGATACAAGTTGCAGCTTACGACAGGTAATTGAGGTGATTCCCCTCTGACAATTCTGGGAGTGATGACCTCTTGTAGTGCACTGTCCGAACGAGAATATGACGTCCGGCAGTCCTTTGGCCCACCTTAGTTAGTATGCAGCATATACGCTCCGTGCGGGAACTATAGGGGGCGCTTTCAAAAACGCGCGTAGCGCCGCTAGCGGAGGAGCTGGCGTTCAACAGTGAGGCGCGTTCAGCAGCCTGCGGCGCCTTTTTGCGTGCGAAGCTGTGGCGGCGGAAGCACGCACGGACGGAACTTTTGCTTTTTGAGCCGATAAGTTGAGGGTGACGTTGCATGAGTGCTGGGGCAGACCTAAGAAGGGTATCTAGCTGTTCTCCACTTCTTTTATATTGAGTTCGAGTTGTTATTAGGGGTAATTTTTCTAGTTGCGGCCGAAAAAGGGGTTTGAGCAATTTCCCGAAAAGCAAGACGGCTGCCACCATAATTGCTCTCAGTGGGAAATTTGTTTCGCTCGTCGCTGTAAACGTAGGACCGCTGGGACGATTATATTTATAGGCGAGTGAGATGTTCACTAAGTTTGTGTACTAAGTGGGCCAAGTTTCATTAAGACAGCAGGTGTGAAAGTTATGGTTTGAACGAATGAAGGAATAAAGCTGTCAGGAATATCCGATATTGGACCCAAAATGGTGTGTTATAACCAGGCTGTGCGAAGTGCAGATTTGAACACACAGGTTCTTGGACATGACCGTAACTTGGCACAACAGTTATGATACCAAAAATAGGTGGCATAGGGAAACCAGGTGGAAATTTGGTTTGGGCGGCGTAACTGAAAGGGGAAATGGTTTTGACCGTGAAAGGGCTGTCAAGAGAATACCACTCGTCGTGGGAGATGGAGACTGTACAGGTAGAAAGGGACTAGTGCACTGTACTTCCAATTGAAACAACTTTACGAAAGGTGGCTTCAAAGCTGAGAAAACCAAGTTGCCGGCCAACACACGGTTTGGCCGTCAAAGGCTTTTGCAATCAGCTGTTGTGTAGTAATCTGGTTGTGCGAGGTGCTGATTTTCGGCACACAGGTACTTGGACAACCGTAACTTAACAAAACCCTTATTATACCTAAAAGAGGTGTCATTATTTAACCAGGGGGAAATATTTTTGGGCGGCGTAACTAAATGGGAAACGGTTTTGACCGCCAAAGGCTGTCAAGAGAATACCACTCATCATGGACGGGAGGTGCACACTTTACAGGGAGGAAGAAACCAGTGGACGGTACTTCCAAATCAGACAACTTTACGATAGGTGGCTCCAAAGCCGAGAAAAAAAATTGTTGTCTGCAAGACTCGGGGTGTCAGCGTTTCCATATCCAAAAGGAGGCTAATCAAAAAGGAAAGCACACCACATAAACTTCCATACTCAAACATCGATTCTCCAGTGATTCCAAGTTTCATTGTAGTTTTTTTTAGATTCATATTTGTCACTTTTTGTACCGTCCGAATCTTTCTTCATGAAGTACAGACTGCGTGCCATACTGGTCCGGAAATATCATTGACTTGTACGATGGGGACGAAACTTTTTTGGTGGGCATTCCTTCAACGAAATTCGCACAGCATACCCGCGAGTGTGGGATGCATCATTTCAGTTCGAGCTGAGATATGTAAGCGTTACTGGTACGAAAACAAACGCAGAGCGCAAAGCGGCAGTGTAGAATACGTCAGCCGCGCCGACACAGTGGCAGACATGATCGGGAGACCAAATTTCTCGCGTCGTACGGCACGGGTCCATCGTTGTCGCTGTCCCACAAAACATCGGCGAGGTGAAAAACTGTGAAACTTCGTCCCCACAAGATACGACACATAACAGCAGTTCATGCTGTCAACCTAGCGTAACCGCACCGCTCAGACTTCAATGCGTACCAATGTACGCGGCGTGGTTTCGTTTCGCTGGGGCTCTCACTGCCTACCTTCGGTAACGGCCGCGCGGCGGCGCGCCGGTCGCGTCGCACGGAGTGTATAGTGACCACCTTCACTCACTCAACACACTTCATCTTAATGATGCCTCGGCCTTCAACAGGATCACTTGCATCGCTCCTCAAAGCATTATTGTCACCCTTAATTTACACTTAATTTGCACAATTAGAGCTGATTGTTACATATGCACCTCATTAAATCTTCTGTTTCCTTGGCAAGTTGGACCACTAGGCTTTTACCTGAAGAAAACCCAAGTCTTATCCCCTTCTCAGAGAACAAAAACATCTCCAAACCATCATGAGAAAAGGCTTCCCTTAATTTTCGGGCCAAAGGTTGCAAACATGTTGCTATTTAGGTCCGCCACTTCAAGAAGGAATACAAGCTCTTCGAGGACAGGTTCCGAACGTTATCTCCACCTCTTACATGTTCACAAATTGCAAGGCCGTTTACTCATCAGGGCAGGTTTTCTCAAGGCGATGGTGAACCCCTTTGGGTAAACTAGCGTCCCTAGATGGGAAAACATACCTAGGTACTCTAATAAATGGCTAGATGTAGAACAACTAATTATTTTTGATTGGGCAGTATTGTGTGTCACCTATTGGTAAAACAGTGAAGTCATTCTGTTTGTTTTTCAGTTTTCCGCTGGTTGTCGATCTAGTATGGCATTTTAAGTCAAAATATACTAATGTTGTGGTTAAGACCACATCAACAATGTCATACCATGCCTGTTCTTTTTTTTGTGTCTCCAGTAACTGAGGGACTAAATTTGCCCATAATTTGTTCCCTTCTGGCCCCCACCTCCTGAATTAACCGGAACCTCTTGTCTGCTGTCATATTACTGTCATACTGTCATAGCAAAGTGCAGCACAGCTGCATTTTGCTGCATATCGCATTAAGACTCAAGATAGTTCTAAATCCACTTTTAAAAGGGGGAAAAAACGGGAAAAGAAAATCTCGTCAACTTCGCTTTTGCTAAGTGTTTGCATATTTCTTGTTTGTGCGACTTTCGGGGAGGACATCGACAAGGTTGAATCGGATACCGCTCTTGAATCTTTCTCATAGGTGAATTTACGGATCGTCGCGGCCAGAACCAGACGCAACGGCTCTGCTTCAGTGTGAACGTGTGCTTGTCACTGTCACCCACACCGTCGTCACGGTGTAGCTGGCCACCGTAAATGTATACAATGAACTCTCACTTGAGCGAACTTCGGGGGACCCAAGAAAATAGTTCACTTAGCTGAAAGTTCACTAAACTGAATATATTCACTAGAATATGGAACAGCATAGGGCACAGCATACATCGAGTTAAAAGTGTGAAATGCAATTTATAGAGTCATGTACATCGATATATATATATACAGAGTGCATAACAATTAGGCTGCTGCCTTTTTCATTTAAAAAAAAAAATTGAATTTTTATTTGCACCAGTGCTCTTAAAGTGCATGAGGTAGCAAAGCTGTTCAGAGAGTATGTTTTTTTGCACTCCCTCTGGCACAGCTTGTTGCTGTGACGAATCCATACCACGATGGCATCGTCCGCCAGCTTGAAATATCCCATGCAGAGTCATGTCCTGCTGGGATTGAACGCAGTTTGTCCTTCAGGCTTTGACTTTTGCTTCACTATCGTTGACAACTTCGATGGTGGAGTCCCGTAGTCCTTTGCAACGTTCACTTGCCTTTGACCGTTGTCCAGACGCTGAAGGATGTTGTGCTTGTCTGATAGAGACAACCGCTTCCCTTTTGTCGTACTCATTGCGAAAGTGGGCGCACAAAGTGCCGTTCTGCTGATGTTACCCAAAACTAAGATGGCCGAACGAAATTGATGACAAAGGGAAAACAGACACACCTCATGGTTCGTTTTCGTCTATTGCACCGCCGCTTTGCCTCTGCTGTGCTGTAAATGCCAGCAATGATAACGCCGCCGGTGGTGGGGCGGTAGGTATCGGCTACGCCAGCACTGCAGAGCACAATACTTCGTTGAACCGATTGCAAAAATAATCCTGGGTCCGCCGATCAAGTTCGTTGAACTGAAATATTCGCCATTCCGGAATTCGTTTTTCGTTTGACTGAAACATTTTAACATAGAATGCATAGGAAAACCGCCGGAGATTTTTTGAACGTTTGTTAAACTTTCATCTACGCAAACCGACGTTTGCGTAGATGAGAGTTTACGGTATACTTAATATACGACATTGTCAAAGCTACTAGTGCGAACGTGTGGCTTCATCTACAGTTTCAATTCTGCGAGAATGCATGCGAATTGTAAACGAAATCAAGCCGTATGCATGTGCCAGTAGCTTTGACAGCGTTGTACATTAAGTATGAAACAGAGTATAGAAACCTCGATGCTGTCGGGGCACTGCAAACAGAAAACGGAGGAAAATGTACGGGCTGTGCACCCCGAACAACAACTTCATCAATGACCCCTTTCGCCGCAGAGTAATCGCTGCTCACGGGTTGACGTGCATAGCGCAAAAAATTAAATGTATTAGTGTAGATATATACCAGCACTTCTTCGCAAAACATTTTTGTACTCGCCATAAAGACACTTGGAAGGCTTCCTTCTGAACTGCCGCTTTGCTTGATGTGCTAATAGGTTGATGTTGCATCAATAATATAAAAGCCGGATCAAAATAAATTCACCAGCATCATAACCCTCAATCAACATCGCGGCCATTTTCCCTGTAGGTACTACTTCTCCCTCGGCAGCCTTGCTCTCCCAGTCACATGACCTAAAATTCCCCCTTGTGGGCAATAGTAAACTTTAACCCATGTTAAGCGTTCGAGAAAATTGGCCCTGGAATAGGAAGGATCCAGGGTCACTAAGTGCTTTCTTGATAGCTGAAGAATGCTTTGTGTCACTTGCTGTAACGAATTCTGTGACCTATATTTTACAATTTATGTACACAAAGCATTGTTTACATGCTCATAGTATTCTTGATATTCAAACAATGCTTTGTGGCATGGGCTACAAGAAGTTTCGTAACCCACATTTGACAATTTCTATACACAAAGCATTTGTTCAGTATCCAAACAGCTAGTGAGCACTCATTGTGGCACGGGCACACGCTCCATATTTTATGACATTTGTATGGTTGCCTAGTAATGCAGATACTAAATAGCTCCACGTGAGTGGGCGTTTCTTTCTGAGGAGCTCTTGACTGGTGGCTTACGTTTGAACTAGTGCTGCCATCAGGACTTGTCCATGTGGAACAGATAAGGGGAACCTATCAATGCAAACTGCTGTTATCGTTTGCGCCTGTGTCACCACGGTCCGATTGATAGGAAGGGAGAATTCTTGAAACTGCAAGCTCGGTGACTACTTGTTTGAGAATTAGGAGAAAAAAATAATCAAGATAACTATGAGCCCTTTCTTTCGGCGGTTAGGTTTTTTATTTGTTTGCTCTCAATTTTTTTTTGTAGGTGCTTATTTTTCGTGATTTTGTCGGGAGCAGTATAGGCACTTTTCATCCATTAGTAAGCTTGATCTCCACCCTTTGCTCGCTTTTCTGCACTATTTTTATGGTGACTCGGGCACAAATGATGACGGCAGTTCACGTTGGTGGGCTTCCCCCTGTCTGCTCCACATGGACATGTCCTGACGTCGGTGCTAGTTCAAACTTATACCACCGGTCGAGCGCTCCTTAGAAAAAAAAAAGTGTTTACTCGCGTGGTGCTATTTAGTATTTGCATGACTGCACTTGCAGCACCATACTTCTGATGTTACAATGCACAAAAACAGATGCACGATTCCACGAGCACACGAAAAGGGGGACGCTCGTACGGTGCTCGCTCGCAGCTCTGTCTTCTTTGATAAGCACAAACTTAGATGCAGATTTTAAAGCGATAGTTTTAAGGAGCTCTTGTCACTGAAAAGCAGGCGTCGGTTGCAGACGGAAAAGTCTTGATTGGTTGATAGGGTCCTGACGTCTCAGCCACATAACCTCGGGCCGGAATTTCAAACGCCCCTGTGGGAACCGACCTTAAGCGCCGATAGCTGATGCTGACATGACCTGTTGTCCTTGACATCGTCCTATATGTCGCTCCTGACATTGTCCTCTAGGACATTGTTCTCGACATCGTCCTAGAGGCCTTCCTTAAAGTCACCCTCGATGTCGTTCTTGATGTCATCTTCAACATCTTAGAGGTCATCCTGGACGTCGTCCTCGACGTTAATCTTGAGGTCGCCCTTGACGGCGTCCTAGAGGTCTTCCTAGAGGTTGACCGCAATGTTTTGCTATCGCATTCCGCTCTTAAAGGTGAAGCTTAAGCGTCTTCCAAGTTTTTTTTTCATTATTTTTCAGTGCTAGCTTACACAAATGAGGTGCAAAACAGTGGAGCTGTCCTGTTCGTGCCGAGCCCATTGCACGGCCCTTATCCCACTTTTCTTCCCCAGGCGGGAGCAGACGTGGCGCTCGTGGGCGGACGACGTGCTGGTGCACATCCTGTCGCCCAACGTGTACCGGACGCGCCAGGAGGCCCTTCAGGCCTTCCGCTACTTCTCCGAGGTGGGCCAGTGGGAGAGCCACTTCCCGGCCTGGGAGCGCCTGCTCGTCGTCTACGTGGGCGCCGCTGCTATGTACTTTGTCGCAAAAAGGCTGAAGAAGAGGTGCGTCGATCGCCCTTGGCTAACGCTCGCTTGTTATTTTTTTTTTTTATATTTACATTTGTTACTGGCAAGGCTTTGAAGTAGATCCCACGTATGTTTCGCGTACGCAGGGATGGGCAAAATACATGCAAATGTATCGAAATACAAATACAAAATACTTTGTCAAAAATGTATTTAATTACAAATCTAATTACATTTCCAAAAAAGCATTTAAAGGGGCCCTGCAATTATATTTAAGCGTCTACCTTTTTTGCGGTTTCCACGTCTCTTGGGGTTCGGGCAAGCCAGCGGGCATGGAGAGAGTAACTAAATATCACTGCATCATATTTTAACCGGGCGACGCGGAAACCTCCTCCACCGACGGGGGCGACCCGCGGTACCGAAAGCGCGCAAAATGTGACGTCTTTGGTCCTTGGCTTACTACTGGTCAGAGCCGCTCAAAGCTTTTTTTTAGTCGAAATACCAATTATAAGTGGCGCGAACCGTTTAAATTATTTCTAAAGTAGTTTTTGTTCAGTATTTTAGATCAGAAAAGAAAGGAATGCAGTTTATAAAGTATGGAAACAAGAAATGACGCGTCGACGTACCCGCCACCAAGCGGTGGAAAAGGCGGCGCATACTAGAAAAGAGTAGTGGGATCAGGAGCCGACACGGTAAGGCCCCAGATGTATGCGGCGGCGCTGCGGTCGTTTACGGACTGGAGGATCCGACCGGCTCCAAGCGTTCCGAAGGCCTTCAGCGAGTAGGTTTGTCTTGCGTTTTGGCCATTTCGCGGCAGCACGAAGTAACTCCCATTCTGAATTGATCTTTACCCCGTGTTTGCTGTCGTTTGTGGCCAATGAAGTGTCATGCCGAATTAGTGTTTAATCGCGCAGCAAATGCAATGAGAGCCGCTCTGGCTGCCCGCTGTATACAGCCTATCCAGAACACGCCTTAGTGGCGCCCTCTCGCGCCGTCGACACGGAGTGCGGCAGCCGTGAGCACTCGCAGAGCTCACTATCCCTCCTCTTGTTCACGGCCAACCAAGCGACCAAGGACGTCATGAGGGAGGTTATTTTTTGCTTGTTTTTGTAATTTTAATTTGCCTATAACTTCTAAAATAAAGCGAAATTCGAGAAAAGAAAAGTTACATTAAGTTACTACGGTCAGTGCGCTCAGGTTTGGTGCAAATTAAAAACGAGTAAAAAAGTGCTTGCAGGGCCCCTTTAAGTACAAGATACAAATACAACCAAATGTATTTGGTCTCCTCCAAATACTTTTCCAAATACATTCCTCAAAATTTGCGTCAGCGACTTCAGGGCACCTGCAAAGTGTTTCTGGGCATCTCATTTTAATTTTGCATCGCACACTTGGGAGTTAGTGTGCGAGGCTCTAGTAACTGAATATAAATATAATAAAAAAAAAATGTTATCAGCTTGGACGTAATAGGTGAAAAAAGTACAGAGATTCTAGCAGCTTTTTTTGTAGATTACGTTTTGGTATAGACCAACAAAGAACTGAGACAACCAAGACGCGCAGCACTAGCTAGAGAATTTTTTATTGTTGCAACTCGCACCAGTTACGAAAATCTGGACGACCAGCGCATTTAGAATGTTCCAGGCAAAAATATGGATGGAAATCGGGCTGGAAAGCATCACAAGTTGTCACAGGCACTTATTTAGCCAGTCTGCCTGTGAACGTCTATTTCGTCACTATTCTTGCCCTGGACTAGCACCGTAATCACAAAGTCACTAAACACTTGTGCTTGATTGAGACGAGAGACACTGCATTCGGTGCAGAACGTAGTTTTCTTCCTGCTCTGGACAGTTACAATAAATTTGAGGAATGTATTTTCGCCCACAAAATTGTATTTAATTACAATTGTATTTGAAATACCCACGTTTTAGTATTTAAATGCACACGTCAAATACATACCCAATTTGTAATTAAATACTGATGCAAAATACACAAAGTATTTGAAATACATATTTCAAATACTTGTATTTGAAATACTGCCCATCCCTGTGCATACGTATGTTGTGGCCTGCTAAATTAAGCAGGAAACTTCCTTCACTATACCATAAAACCCCGTAAGATGATCTTCCCGAAAGGTAGCCTACCCTTATTTTTGGCTTGATTTGCTATTTTATTTTAAACACAGAAGGATAGCCCACCGCTAGTAATCATAGTGATGGGATCAATGATGACATCAGCGTAAATGCATCTATTGTAAGTTACAGCTCAAGAAAGTAGGGCAAGGAAAGGGAAGGCTGGGGAGGAGGAAGCAGATGAAATGCTGGAGAGAGGAAGAGGCTTCCCCCTCTCCTCTCCAGCATTTCATCTGCTTCCTCCTCCCCGGCCTTCCTTTCACTTTCCCTACCTTCTTGAGTTGCAACGGACTATAGTCAGCTACGTTTGGATATAATCGAACATTGCTGACTGGAAAGTGCAGTCATCTTTTCTTCATTGCCCCTCACCATAATAACAAGTTTGGCAGAGAAACATGACCTAAAAATAGCATTTTTTCAAGTTGTTGATTGTGCACCGAAAGTTGGTCCACTCCTTATTTTCATCTGATTTTCTCTTAATTTTAGGGGAATTATCTAGGGATATTACGGTAGCCACTGACAAGGTGGAAATGACAGGCAGGAGTTTCGTTTGTCCCACCTCCGCGCCGACTCGCTACCTTTGATGACGCTTCGGCGCATGTTGGAGGTCGGAGCTTCGCCATATCCTCTGATCGGAGCTTAGTACCGCATTGTCTCGGTACCCTCTGCGCAAGGAGCAGACAAACTTGCTCGCCATATGGCCTCTTTCCCAGTGTGTACGCTATTGAGTAGGTCATTTTCCGGTGACCATACACAGCATTAAAGGGTATGGGAGCATTTTGGTCAAAATTGTTTCGAATGCAAACCAAAATTGGATGCACAACTTTTTAATCCACGAGCCGCACGTGACCTTGCATTAAACGAAGTGCTCAAAATAAAAAAAAATGCGATAGAAATTTTAACGAAGTAGTGGGGATTAATTTCTGCAATCTGCGAGCATCTCTTTTCTCGCAACAGCAGAATGTGAACAGGATCACCCTAGTGCTTTTTCCTCCGATGTTTTCCAAACTAATTCAAATGCAGTGCAAACAGAATTTAACAGTGGGAATATTAGGATGTGTTAGTATTGCGGTTAAATTTTTTTTAAACGCAGAATGTGTTATATGGCTCACTCCTAACCATATCCGGTTAGGTGCAGCCAACGGAAGTCGATGGACTGACTGCCGGCCGAATGCCGACATGGCGCTCATCTCCTTACCGATTGGACACCTGTGCTGGCCAAACCGCTTTCTCTATTGGCTCTGCATTACTCCCATCGGGAGTAAAACATCACGTGTTCAGACATACAGCGGTGCTCTGCTCCATGAAAATAGCGCGCTCTGGTAGAGGAAATGCCTTGAGCACGAGCTTTCTGCCTTTGATAACTCTCCATTGCATGTGCAGCCAAAGCCTGGCAGAAGGCTGAGTGTGTGCTGGAGGTGGAACATCTACCTGCTTAAGCTGTCACCAACTCTAGAGAAGAACACACTACTCTGGTTTTATTATAGCCTAGGTATATTCGTTTTTAATTCTTTGCGCCACCAACTTTATTGAATTTATTAATCACAACAGAAATCAAATCACTTTTGTCTAAATAGTGCCACGTAGATGGGCTTAGGATGTTACTGCTTGTCGTTTGAAGCCACGCTCATTTTGCGCAGGCATCATCTGAAGGAAGACGTCAGAGACAGCTTTCGAGACGCCTGCTTTGAGTGGACAGAGGCCGTAGGTTCCGGCAAGTTTCACGGCGGCAGCAAACCCAACCTCGCAGACCTGGTATGTGACGTTCCGAGCAGTGGGCCAATGTTTTGAGAATGTGCATTTGTGGAAGGTGATGGGAAGAATTTGGGAAAGAAATCTTCTGCGAGCCTTAGAGTGGCAGTCATACCCTGTGAATTCTCGACTACTGGAGGGCTAAAAAAGTTGTCTCTTAGCAGATTCTCAGCTGCCTTTCTGAGATTCTCAAGATTTATTTTTTGATATTAATATGTTGAGATGTGGTACTACCTGCAAGTATTTCGCTGTTGGTGGCATCACAAAAGGTGTGCCACCCTGTATTTGAGGAATAGAGAGAGAAGTGCAGCAACAGCGAAGAAAGACCACGGATGTACCCAGATGAACAAACCCCCAGGTTATGGCTTTGGATGGCTGTTTGGTTCTCTTTTGTGGCACATGGTCTTGTCAAGGTTTTGCTTCTCTAAATGTCCTAATGGTCTTGCTTCTTGATGACGGCCTCTCTGATTTCTTTTTGCCTTTAGACCACTGCTTAATTTCAGCCTTCATCTAACCAACTCATCTGCATCCAAAGATGTGTTGTGGTATCCGGTTTTGTTCTTTTTCCCTGTGAACTGTGCTGGCGGTTGCACTATTTCGATTGCTTACATCACGTGGAAGGGTCTCAAGATTTTAGAAAACAAATTTTACGGAACGGAAAACTGCTCTCTAGAGAAGTAGTAATAGCGGAGTCTGCTCTGGATTTCACCTCAAAGACCTTATCATCCCACTGTACACCACTCACCATTAAGTTGACAGTGCAGTGAAGGTGACAAGTGCAAGCTAGACTGCGCTTCTTGCTTTTGAACGTCCTTTCTAGCGCAAGTGCTCGTTCCATGAAAGCATATACATAGCTGTGATCTTGTGCCTGCAGCCTTTGCTGCTTCATAAACTTAAATGTGAATGGAATACCATATTTTCCAAACTATAGTGTGCACCGAGTGTATAGTTTGCAGACATGAAATTCAGCTGAAAAAAAAAAAAAAAAGATTTTCCTTAGCTAGTCCACACTTGGTGATTTGTCCACACATAAAAACTTTTCATATTCAGCACACCTTGACATATGGCCACTTTATCAGCTTACAAAGAAGCTTGTCACACACAAATAATCATTGACATTCTCTGTTTTTCACAAAATCTGTCGCATCATGTCACAATGAACAGTGTTGAAAAAACAAATCCTCGTATAGTCTGCAGCGTGCAAAAATTTCAACTATTCTGCAGACTATAGTCTGGACAATACATACAGTATAGAGGAATGCATCCTACCAATATGGAACTATACTTCTGCCGTGTATCACAGCAGAGGTGAAAGTAGCTATACTCATTATGGTCTTTCTCCTTCCGCATTACCAGGCAGTGTTTGGGGTCCTGAGCTCCGTGGAAGGCTGCACAGCCTTCCAAGACATGCTGCAGGAGACACAGATTGGGCCCTGGTACTTCCGGATGAAGGAGGTGGTTGCTGGCCACGCTGGCAGTCGGGCCATCAGCTCCGAGCTGCGCTAGTCTAGCGCACCGCCGCTCGACGAAGCTCCACAAAGATTGTTTCGTTTTATGAGCCATCTTTGCTGTAAAGTAGTGCCGACAAGTTGTTGTTGCTCATTAAATAGGCATTGGCCTGACAGTTACAAGTGGGGGAGGTGTCTGTTTTGTACTGTTATCCCTGGAAGGGGACCAGGCAAGAAAGCATTGGCAATGGACCTTTTTCCAGTAAGCCCCTACGTGTGCGTACACCCTCTCCCGTAACCCTTTTTTCCCCGCTGTCGCCATTTTCGGATGGCAATGTTTCATAAAAACAACATTGTCAACAGCCATCTTCGCGCTTATTTCGTTTTAATTTACGATTATATTTTTTGAGCGTCGGTAGTATGGGACATGGAAAGCGGCGAAAACCGATACAATGGCACAATGACAACCTGTTCTGACGAGCGGAGGCACGTTGGACTGTCACACCCGTTGGGGAAAGAGGAAGACAAAGACCATGTGGATTGCGGGAATGAGAAATATGTTCTGTTGTTTAAAGGAGCGGAAGAATTATTATGAGAAAGATAAAAGTAAACCGTCAGAAAAGAAAGAGAATCAGCAGAAGAGAAAGTACAATAAATAAATCCTTGCATGCGTCTCAACACTAATTAACATTTGGTCAAGTCATAGACACATGAGATGAAGCTCGGCTCACAAGTCCTATGTGGCGTGTCCTTGTAAAAGCGGCCTCCAACCTTCGCCTCGATGGTTGGAGGTCGTAGTGCAGACTCGGCTAGGAGCTGTGCAAGGCAGCCCCACTTGTTGGAGTCCAGCGAGGGTTCCGTTGACCAGACTGCTGGACTCGGCGCTTCGCTGACTGTGGCAGCTGTTGAGCGATGTACAGGCCAACCGGTCTGGTCCGTGTTCAGCTTCCAATTCCCCACTCGGTTGCCTGCTCCCCACCTCGTCCTCTTCATAATCTTCTTCGTCTAGGATCGCGGCCGCGGTGCAATCATTGTCATGAGGATCATGACATGGACAACACTCCAGACTGCTCGCTACTCAAAAAAAGTCCACTAAAGGGGCCATAAAATTAATTTTGGAGTGGGGTAAATTAATTTAGGTTGGGATTTTACTGATCACACATCGTTTAGTGGGCCAAAAAAAAAAAATTAGTACACGAAGATAGAATGCCAAAAACTTATTCGGAACGGAAATCTTTTATAAATATAGCGATCCATTTTTTTACTTTCTTTCCTTCGAAAGCCCATTGATTTTTCACTGCGATGTATCCGCGGTGCCCAAGCACGTCAGTTGAACCCAGCTCACGAGATGGACGCGAGCATTGCATTTTTGGATGTTTCCGCTCGCCAACAATTAATCCGTCAACGAACGTTCGGATTCGCGTTCGTGGCCAATGATTGCTGTAATTGCACTTGTCACCACTTGCCAATAACAAGTTCCACGGTGTGCTTAAAAAGCATGGTGGAAGCTTAGAATCATTGCATCCGGTACCCAAGCACGTCACAACCACTTGCCATTTTGCTTTTGAGTCGAGGATTAAAGCTACGGCAGAAAAAGTTAAAATTTCATTTCATGGTCCCTTTATATCAAAGCCTGCTGCAGACGTTCGAGCTATCGGCTCGTCGTTGGCAATAGGGGCATACAGTCTAAGCTCGTTATAACAGACCTTGATTTTGACCAAGATTTCAGTCTTTTGTAAGGGGAGTATGTTGTATACAGATATGAAGTTGAGTCAATGGTATGTAGAGGAAAACCAACTGAACTTCACAAATCAGTATGTTATATCCAAATGTCTGTTGTAACCAGGTCTGTTATAATGAGCTTAGACTGTTCTTGGTATTGCGTGCTACATCTGAAAAAGAAGCAGAGTAACCCGATATTTCGAGTTCTCATTGCCTACTTGTTTTTTTTCCCCAAGAGCTACATATCTCTACATTAGGAAAGGCTTAAAAAGAAAAGGCGGAATAACAGCCGAGCAAGTTCCAGACTTGATTGCTATCTCCTTGGGACGCTCCGTCATGAGCAGTTGCAACTGTGACGTCATTCTTTACTATACTCTATTTCTCCGTAAGTGCAAGCTTCGAGCGAGCCTATGCTTGCAAGCTTGTGAAGTGAAAGTGTAATTCGAAACATTTTTGTGCTTGTAGCACCGGCTTTGCTCGCCCTTATCCTCCATAGGAGAGCTTGAAATGACCGTAGTGTCAAAGAGAGCTGTGTCCTTTTCCTACGAGACATTTAGGCCTTCCTTTGTAGGCAGCTGAAGTGGATTTGTATCATTTTGTCAAAAAACGTTTCATGGATAATTTTTAATGAGCATGTTTATTTGACACTGTTATATTTCGTGGGCACATGCTCCTGCGATGTTTCGCCAAAATCTTTCTAAGTGGATTGGATTACTGACTTCATTTCGTTAGCTAAAAGCATACCGGAACTAAGTAAAAAAATGCAACTGCTGGAAACCGACACCGAAACGTCACAAGTGACATTGTGAAGTCACTCGTGACCTTCACTCTTGCAACACATTATGAAACGCGCGTTGTATTATGAGAAACGTCGTGATGTCACTCGTGAAGCCGCGCGTTGCATTATGGGAAACTTTGTGACGTCACTCCTGAAGCCACGCTTCGCATTATGGAAAACGTCATGACGTCACTCGTGAAGCTGCGCGTTGCATTATGGGAAACGTTTCATAATGCAACGCGCGATTACGCCGACGCCGCTCAAGCCAGAAACGGGCGCCTAAGAGCTGCACTTTGAAAAGCCTCTCTCCCTCTTGTACTCTGGTTTATTTAGCCTACAAATAAATTTCTCTAAAATGCCAGCAAACAACAGCACGTCTGTTAAAAGTGTCCATCACACATCCCTTTGTGTATTATGAACCTACCAAACCCAAGATTCCAATATCGTAAACTGCAAAAACCACCACCCAAAAATAATTGAGAGATCCAGTTCTACCTCAAAAGTTACACTGCATTTTAGCGGCCTTGGAACCAAGGTTGAGTCAAAGTTTGCTGCTCTTTTAATCAGCTGCCGCATGGGAACTACCTCGACTACCATACTTATTCAGATATAGGTCCACATTGTTTGTACTTTCTCTGCACATTTTTTTACAATGAGAGGTCTACCTACACTCAAGATAATAAGGATTGACCCGCAAAAGTACTGAGCATAATTTTCGAGCCAAACATGCAGATCCATGCGCTCCCCCATGTCAGCAACTGCTCCTAGCACTCTGGTGAAGACTGGCAAAGCTTGTCGCATGCATGCCGGTAGGAGACTGTGTAGGTTGATGGGCAAGGGGCACAAGTGCCACTGTACTATCGGGGAAAAATGAAATGCGAACAGAGGAGCGCGTGGCTCGCGGTACAGGCTGCGCCGCCTGGAAGTAAACCTAGGGGCGAGGGTGCGTGGCCTACTTCGATGTGTTCACGCCCCTCGATTAGCGCTCCCCCAGCTTCGGCAGTGCGCCTCTCAGTGCGCTGAAAGTTGTCACTGCTGTCACCGCTGTCTTTGCCTGCTCGGCGAGAGCGGCGAGCTTCTTTGCACCGCACGCGCTGAGCCAGCAAAGATAGCGGTGATAGCTTTCAGCGCACTAAGAGGCGCACTGCTGAAGCTTGGGGAGCGCAGAGGGAGGGGCGTGAACACGTCTGAGTAGGCCACAAACCCTCGCTCCTAGGCTCACTTCCAGGCGGCGCAGCCTGTACCGCGAGCCACGCGCTCCTCTGTTCGCATTTCATTTTTCCCCGATAGTACATTGTAGCTATGGCGGTGAGACACCAGGCAGCCACGATAATCGTATGATCTCATCAGGAGTAAAAAAACACCTTCGTTCTGTCTTATTGCAGCAGCTGCCATCCCACTATTTCGCACATTTTCCTCGTGACCTTTAGCTCGACATTGCCGACATCGACTGGACGTTCGGGCGACGACGGCTCAGCGCGGTTGACGAGCAATCTCTATGCTTCGTTTCACCTTGAGTCAAAACGCAGCCGACACTATGAGCCAATGGGACCGACCAGACATTGTCAAAAGCACGACGTCGTGGCATTCGTCATCTTCCTATACCATGGCCTGGCTAGAGAGTGGCACTCTAGCCCCACCACGTCTGTGTGCATTCTTTTCTCGGCTAAACCACTAGAGCGCAGCAAAGGCTCCGCGATAGTGATGCAAAACTATCGATAAATCGACTATCGATAGCGTCGCAGAACTATCGATAGTCGACTATCAATAGTACTATTGTTAATTTTTCGATAGTCGACTATCGATAGTTTTAAAGCGCAGCTCTTAGGGGTCCGTTTCCGGCTTGAGCGGTGTCGGCGTAACCGCATAGTCACGTGACCTTAAGGAGTAACCTATCCCTCAGTACGCTTCCATACTCCTCCTCAAGAGCTGCACTCTAATCCGGCGCCACAGGGAATTATAAACGGCTTTCATTTTTCGATAGTCAACTATCGATAGTTTTATTACTATCGGTAGTCGGAATTCTGGCGACTTTCGATACCATCAATAGTGCTGTCGATAGTTTTGCATTACTAGAGCGAACACAGTTGCCGCACCGAAGCTCGCATCCCTTCCTCGTCTCTTCGCCCAAACCCCCGTCTTCTTCATCTCTGAAAGCTGAACCAAATTTGGGATGGTAAGTGCTTGGGCTGGTTGGGTATCGCATTCAAGAAAATAAGCGAGAAACAGAGAAGAGGGAGCGACGCAAATTACTTGTGTCGCAAAACTATCGATAGTAAACCGTCGACAGTACTATCGATAGGTTTACGATACTCGACTATCGATAGTTTTTCAATAGTTGACTATCGATAGTGTTTTGATAGTACTATCAATAGTTTTTTTTTACTATGGATAATCAAATTTCTGGCGACTATCGATAGTTTTGCACCACTACTCTGTGACTCGCTACTTTAGTGTGTTTGTGGTTGTATGTGTTCAAGTCTTCAACTGCACTGTGACCCAAGATGAAAGTAATTATACAGTTAATGGATGATGCGAAGTATGCACTTGCATAATTTTCCTCTCTGAATATTAGGGTCGACCAGTAATGCAATTTTTTTATTGTTTGCTTCGTTTAAGCCCATCTTGGCACAGGTGTGGTGCAATTCTTAGCAAAAGTGGCATTTTAGCTCAAGACTCAGCAGATTTCTGTTCATGGCGCAATTTGGTGCAAATGGTGCAGCACTTCCATCACTGCATTGCTTTTAGGATATTTGTCCATGAAAACGTTCAAACCCTAGTCAGAACTCTCACACAGCAATACATTTTTTCTTACAGAGATAAAAGACGGGCAAGCTGGTTGAGGTTGCGCGTACAAGAGACCGAGACGAAGGACTGTTTTTTATGTCTTCCTTCATCTTGAGCGTATTTTTTTACAGCGCGTTTTACACGCAATCAATCCACCAACAAGCATAGTCATAAAATGCCACGGAGAACCAACCACGGATGCATGACCGTCAATGTGTGAAACGTTTGGCAGCGGCCTTCTCCCCGAAAGCAGACCCGGGTAACGGAGCCTTGCGCGCATACTTGAACTTTTTCCCGATCTGCACCTCCTTCTTCTCCCGTCCCACCGCCGCCTCGACGGCCTTGAGGGCCACCCGGTACTTCTCGTGGAACACCTCGAGGCCTGCCTCGCCCTCCTCCAGCGCCTCGACTGGCGACTTTCCCGCGGAGCTCAGCATTGTCTGGAACGCTTCGAGCTGGCCTTGCCGCAGAAACGTCACCGCCGTCCCCGGCACACCCGCACGTGCCGTCCTTCCGACCCTGTGCACGTACGTCTTGACGTACTTGGGCGGGTCGTAGCAGACAACGCTGCGCACGTTGGCCACGTCCAAACCTCTGGCGAGGACGTTGGAGCACACCAGGAGGTCCAGGCCTCCGGATGCAAACTTGCGCAGCACCCTTGCTCGCTCCGTCGCGCTGAGGTCGGAAGAGAACTCCTCCACGCGGACGCCTCCCATCTCCTTGATGACGAGGCAGAGCCTGTGCGCATCGTCCTTCGTCCCCGTGAAGCAGAGCGTGCCCGTGTAGCCTCGGTTCGCGACCAGGTCCCAGAGCACCAACGGCTTCTTGGCGTTCTGCACGACGCGGTAGAACTCGCTCAGCCCTTGCGGTGTCGTGTATTTTCCAGCAAAGGCCGCTCTCTCCACCGCCGGGTCTCGCTTGCCGGCCGCCGTGAACAGCTTCGGCTGGAACAGCATCAGGCTTTGCAGCTTCTCGGGGTCTTGCGTCAGCGTTGCCGAATAGAGCAGCTTCTGCGCCGGCTCCCTGCACCGTTGAAGGGAGCAGACAGTCAACGGCTGCGTGTAGAGGCGCCCATTGCCCGATGCTCTTCCGCAGCAGCAGTTGCACTTGTCCGCGCCAAACACCGCCTGCTCCACCTCCGGAATGAGTGTCGTCCGAACGTCCTCGATGACACGGTCGGCCTCGTCCAACACGAAAAACTTGAGCAGACGCAGGCTGAACCCTGGCGTCTTCCGGATGTGGTCGAGCAGACGACCCGGCGTCGCGACGATAATGTCGACCAGGCTTGAGTAGCCTCTTGCGTTCTTGTGAACGAGAGACAACTGCTCTTCTGAGAAGGGCTTCGTGCCGGTCACCAGCTGGGATCTCAGCGACGTGCCTCGGAGGTACTGCTGGAAGACCGCCTGGACCTGGGCGGCCAGTTCCTTAACGGGAAGCACGACCACGGCTCGGACGGCGCGCACGACGCGAGGTTTCAGGGACTCCACGATTGGGATGACGTACGCCAGCGTCTTGCCGCTGCCCGTCGGCGCCGAGACACAGATGTCTCGCGGAGGCAGGAAACAGCGGCGTTGCGCCGGCGACAGCAACCAGGGAACCACCTTCTCCTGGACCGGGAAAAGTCTGCGAATCTTGTTGGCCGCCAACGCCGCCAGCATCTCGGGGCTCAGGCTGTCATGGAAGTTGTTGAGCTTTGCACTGGACGTTTTGCCTTTCTTAACTCGCGACTCTATCTTTTCTGGGTTCGAGAGCCAATCGGGGAGAACCCTGTGGACGACTTCGGTGGCCTTCACTTCGACCTCGCCCAGCACTGGGAAATATTCGACCGGAGCTGTTGGGGTAACATCGGTTTCCACTTCGTTGGAAGCTTCCTCCTTATCGCTGTCCATGTCGCCAACAGAAGGAGAGCTGTCCCTCTCTACCAGATCCTCCTCTTCACCTTTCAGCTGCTCTCGATCACTTTCCTTTTTCTTTCTTGGACTCAAGACAGCAGGCCTTGTCTTCTTGGTGCCTGCCTGCACCTTAAGAGTACCTTCTTGGTGCGGTTGTCCGTCTAAAGCTCTCATGCGGGGTTGCTTGCTTTTCTTACGACGCTTCTTTTTTCTTGTAGTCGAGCTGGACTTGGCAATACCCTCGAGAGCATCTTTTTTTTGTGCCTCTTCAGATCTTGTTTTGTTCTTTGCCGAAACAGGCTTGGCTTTCTTTTTAGGTGCCTCAAGACTGCCGTGATCCAGTTGCTCCTGCTCATCCAGATCACCCAGCTTCCTTTTTTGCCCCAATGGCTCTATGCTCGGCTGTGCTTCGTCAGTCTGTTCTACTACTTGGGTGTCATGTGAAAGACGAGCCTGCTCTTGTTTTTTCTTGGCTCTTTTCAGAATCTTCTTTAGTCTTTTATCAGGGTCTATCAGCTTGTCCTCATCTGCAGATGCTTCATTCTCGGCCGTGAATCTGTAAAGGACCACAACAATTTTGATACATTTTTGTCCCGAGGAAATAAAGGAGCAGAAGGGCAGGGGCAAATTTACAAGTTTTTCTCCAATATTTGGCACAATGTCACCGAACAAACTCAAGGAATAAAAATGTAGTGCTAATGGTGGAGCTATGTATGGCAACTTTTTTTAAGAAGCTGCAAGGTCTCGTGAAAGTGAGTAAAAATGTCTGTGGTACAACAATGTATTTATGCAAACCCTTTCCACACAGACTGTGACTACTTTCCAACAGGCAGTTTTGCAGCAATCCTTCTTATAAACAAGGTCTGAAAAGCGGTTCTGCTTGCATAAGAGCCGTGAAAGTGCGTAATACCGCACCGGCTCAAGCCTGTCTGGCAAATACTCACAAAAAGCATCGCATCACCTGGGTGTAAAGTCCTATTTAAATCGCACAAGGTCCTTGGAAATACACAACTAGCTTTCTAATTATAATGCAATTACATGCAAAGGTGCAAGCGAGCTGGACAAGAATGACGAAAATAATCCCTGGAGAAGGGGAACAAGAGGGACAAAGGACAAACACAAATCTCCAAACACAGCTAGGTGACTGGTGCGCGACCGAAAAAATCCGCCTGGTCCGGGTATCGAACCCGGGACCTCTCCACCTGTAGTGGAGAGGTCCCGGGTTCGATCCAGGCGGATTTTTTCGGTCGCGCACCAGACACCTAGCTGTGTTTGGAGATTTGTGTTTGTCCTTTGTCCCTCTTGTTCCCCTTCTCCAGGGATTATTTTCGTCATAGCTTTCTAAACTTGAAGAGTCGAGGAGCACTATAGGCTAGCATGCACACCTAGTCTGCAGCTTGCGGTAGCCTTGCACAACCAATGCTGCACAAATAAATCGAGCTGTGGAATACGCAAAGGAAACGCTATCGATTGCGCGTCAAAACATTTTAGGGTGGTGTAAATTAAACCCCCGTCCTTTGTAGGACCCCGGCGTGCCAGGTGCCCTTCGTTGATTTGGCACGTAAACTTCACAAATGTGTGTTGTTCTCTCGCTCGGAGAATCTCAGGTCTGCCGGGAACCAAAGCTGACAGACTTGATCGAAGCAGGTATTCAAACTAAGGAGTGGGGGCTACCATACACGCAAGAAATTCGCTTGCTATTCACGCCTATCTGTCTAGCCCCATAGGTCCCTCAGCGAGCAAAACGTTCGCAAGATTAAACAAAGCTGTGATCTGATCGCCGTTTCCAGGATGACATGAAGACTGGTCTCTTCGGGCCGGTCCTAGCGTATTCCATATTTCCTCTAACGCGCACCGGCCCCGGGCACAAGGAACACCATACGCACCTATTAACCAGGTAAAGCTGCTCCATTCTAGAAGGGATAAATTGCAAAATAATAATGGTAGCATGCAAAACACGTGGAAACCGATGCAAAAAAACAAGCGCAACCTGTCTTGGATTGGATTGGATTGAACTGGCATCAATGTTGCCGCACTGCCACTTCGGTTTTTCCTTCGCCAAGCGGCGAAAATTCCCTTTTTTCCCACAACACCATTTTAGTGACAGAAGTCGTTTGTAAGATACGCATGACGCAACACCTCCCCTATATTTTTGTTATGCAGAAGTTTGCATTGCATAAATTACGAAATGTAGTTGGCATTCGGCAAACTTGTCTTCCCTCAAGGTTCAAGGTTCAAGCAGTTCAAGGTGTTTAATGGCAAAACTGGCAAAACTTCTACACAGCCGAGTGCCTGAGGCAGCCAAAAGGCAGAAGCCCGTACAGCCAAATGCTGGCTGCCTCCTCGGCTGTGTGTTAACAGGTGAATGATGATGATGAATATACAAATGAAAGGGAGGAAGAAATGATAGGTACACAGGAGTTACTGCGCTCGGAGGGCACGCGACGCAGTCCTGCTGAAGTCGCGGAGTTCGTCCCCAGACCCCGGCAGGGGTGGGCGCGTGCGCTCAGGTAAGGACAGGTACGAGCTCACCGCGGCGGGGAACAGCGAAGCTTCGTGTCGCCGGGTGCGGGCGCGGAGAGGGATAGGGCAGCCTGTCCGACTAGAGATACGGGGAACTGATGCTAGGTAGGAGCCGGCCAGCGAAGGGCCTGCGGCAACAGCAACGAGTCGGACACGCGCCACTGTTCGTCGGTGGCTCAGGCGGTGCCAGCCAAGAGACCGCAGGCGTTCATCGTAGTCGGCCCTAGCAAAAATTCCCATAGAGAATTCCCATAGCCTATCAGTTTATTGACACCTATGGGTGTATCGGCCTATAGGTGTATGGGCCTATGGGTGTATGGGCCTATAGGTGTATGGGCCTGTAGGTGTATGGGCCTATAGGTGTATGGGCCTATAGGTGTATGGGCCTATTGGTGTATTGGCCTATTGGTGCATTGGCATATAGGCCATCTGCATGAGCACACAAGGTATGGTGGTGTCTTTATACATTTTATTATGCAAAAAAGGGTCTTGGGGTACACTTGCTCCCGTTATGAAGGCATCTTGACGCTGAACACTCACAAACTGAGTCTTGAATATGCAAGAGCATAATGGCATACTTCTTGCTTGAAATCCTGAAATGAGCAGCAGAACAAACAAAAAGAGTTAATCGGCGGCATGGCAAAGGGTGAGGATGATGTCACCACAGAAAGTGATTAAGGCTAAAGCTATTCGATAGATGACTCGAGCATTTTTAAATTTCAGAGTGAAGAAAATAAAATTAAGAGGCTGGATTTCCTTTGTTCTCTGTCTTCATCATGTGGGTTTCCTTTGTTTGCTGTCTTCATCATGAGCCTAACTGCCTTCAAAACTTATTAAGCGTCAACCTTCTGAAGAACCTTGAAATTAAATAATGTAAAATTAATATCAGCTTTATGTTTGTGGGATTCCTCACAGCGCTTCATTTAGTTCGGTCAACAAATACATAGTAGGTATGTAAACTCAGATCAATTCGGGAAAGTCAGGGAATCGAAGTTTGCCCTGTTTGCCATAACAGTACCATCCAGTCCACTTTCATAACTTCAAAACTAGTCGCATGCTGTCACGCGTTTTATAAAGATGGCTATTTTTGAACCATTTTGACTGCAAAGGCATAGTGGCTCTGCATGAACTGAATACTATGGAAGTGTAACTTGTCAAATGAAATTAAGTATGATCAATGTAATCAATTTATAGTGGGACCACTTCAGTCCACTGCTAGACCAATAAGACATTTTCTAAAGAAACGGATTGAAGGTAGCATTAAGGAATTTAGTAAGTGTGCTCCGTTGACATAAGCTACACTTTGTCGGACCACACCCGGAATGAGTGACAGCTTTTCTCTATGCGACGCACAGTTCCAAACATAAGAACAGGTAAAGCAAGCACAACTAGTTAAAAAAATAGCTGAACAAGCAAAAGTGAGCCGAGAAAATAGGGAGCTTTAGAATAACGGGCGCTAATTTATCTCGCGTTATGGACGGCAAAAGCGTCTCTCTGCCGGGCACCCAAAACGCAAGCATCTCACACTTAAAGCGCCACCAAGATGTTGCGATAGCTTTTATGTTGAAGTTAGAATGTTATATCTCTAAAATTAAACAAGCTTATCGTCTGGAATAACATTTTTTATAGTTGTTTTATACTCAATGCCGCATGTTTCTGTCACTGCCAAGCTGCTCTGTTGTACTTCCGAGGCCACGACGATCCACAACCCCGGCATGTTTAAATTTCTGCCGCGATCGCAAGTACACGCACTTTGATAGCTTTGAGCTCTGAATCCAACGGTATGTGACATTTTCTGTACGCTATGACTATACCAACTGCGGTCGCCAAGTGCGACTCACGCAGCCCAAAGCGGGCAGCGGGCGTCGAAGACGCGACCAACGGAATGTCGTGGGCGCCGCCATTTGCGGTATCCACAATATTTCCGAGAAATAACGGGCCCCAAAGCCCAAGCCCCAATGCTCGTTTTGGGTCTGCGCATTCGCACTAGCGACGACGTTATTTATTCGAGGTTGCGGACGTCATTCTGAAACTCCCTAATGTTCAAACTTCCACGCGTCTACAATAAACAAAGACCAAAAGCATGCTTACCAACTGTGTTCAGGTGCTCGGTAGACTCGCGTCGTGGGTCTTCCAAGCTCATCTTCACCATAATCAACATAAGAGGAGACTTCACACATAGGTAAACTTGAATAAATGAGCACATTTCCATGTCTAAAAGCATTTTCGTCCCCTGACAGAAACACACCCGACGCACGACAAGACAACGTCGGGGGAAAAAAAAAAGTGTGATGTCGCTAGCGATGGGGTGCTGTAACTAGTACGAGCTCGATTGGAATAATAACTGGGCAAGTTGGTGAGAATTCTTGTTGAGAGACAGCGCGACCAGGACGAGGACAAAAAGACAGAGAGAACACAGGACAGGCGCTGTCCTGTGTTCTCTTCGTCTTTTTGTCCTCGTCCCAGCCGTGCTGTTTTTCAACAATATGAGCTCCTAAGGAAATTGAAACCGAAACTGGCCGAATCGCGATGGAGGAGTGCCATAAAAATGTCTTTACAAACTTAGGAATAAATGAAGGTGAATACAACTATTGTTATAAGCACGTGAAATAAATGTGTAAATCATGACTAGTACCGACTTGCCATTTGTTTTGGGTGAAATGGAGTAGGAAGTAGATTTCTTCGTTTCAACCCATCAAGATATTTTCTTTATTTTTCGTGGAGATTACTTTTATTTACACTTTCCTTACAGTATTTTATTAGTAAATTATTTTGACGCACCAGGCTCCCAAGTTTTATTTAGAATATTGCCCTAAAATTCATTCAGAAAAGCAAGCATTTCATTATGCTATTTTCCTCTAAATTGTGACTGTGTGTGAGTCTCTTATTCTAGCATTATTTCAAGCTACGAAACTATATGAATTTTTATAACCCATTGATTTACAATGATGGTGTGTTATGTAACCTGGGCTTAAACCATTTTTGCCATTCGAAAATATTAAGGAAAAAAAGCGTAACATTGTCGCATAATTAACTTGACTGATGTACTTTTATGTATGCTGTTCTAGAGTGGACACATTTTTTGCATTTGGAATAGATATTTGCACCACACAGCCCAGGTTACATAACACATGCATCAAATGGGCCGGTGTATTTCTGACACGGACTATTCTGACAGAGATATGTCTAATTTATTCCTATTGCTCAAATATAGACATGCACAATTGGTACACTCCTATAGAATGATTCGAGGTTTCCACTAGTCAAGGAAGCATTCCTATTTGGCGAACAAAACTTTTGGTTAGACTGATGAAGATTCCTAACCATCCGATAAAGTCCTTATGGGACCGGTCTAAGTTTCTATGGGACCAATAGGAATGCCTATTGGACCGATCGAAATTTCTATAGGCCCAATAGGCATTCCAATGGGACCGATACACACTCTTATGGGACCGATACACACTTCTATGGGATTGATACACACTCCTTTGGGACCGATACACACTCTTATGGGACCGATACACACTCCTATGGGACCGATACACATTCCTATGGGACCAATAAAACTTCCTATGGGACCGATCCACACTCCTATGGGACCGATACGCACTCCTATGGGACCGATACACATTTCCTATGGGACCAATAGAACTTCCTACGGGACCAATACAGATTTTTATGGGACCGATACAGATTCCTACGGGACCGATAGAAATTCCTATCGGACCGATAGAAATCTCTATTGGTCCGATACAAATCTCTATCGGAATTTTTGCTAGGGGGAGGAATGGTCGTGGCGGGCCAAGGTTCGAGTCGCGCGGCGCTGCACACTTTCTAGGCGCTCAGTGAGGTGCATGGGCTCCATATTGAAGAACAGGGGTGCTATGTTGCGCTTTTTGCACTCCCAGGGGGGCTATGTTGCGCTTTTTGCACTCCCAGGAGACTTGGAAGAGGGAAGTGACGTCAACGACTAGAGCAAACTCAGATTGGATGTTGACAGAAGAAAACAAAGTCAACATCCAATCTGGATTTGCTGTGTCGTTGACGTCACTTCCCTCTCCCTAGTCTCCTGGGAGTGCAAAAAGCGCAACATAGCCCCCCAGGAGACTTGGAAGAGGGAAGTGACGTCAACGACACTGCAAATGCAGATTGGGTGTTGACAGAAGAAAACGAAATCAACACCCAATCTGCGTTTGCTGTGTCGTTGACGTCACTTCCCTCTCCCTAGTCTCCTGGGGGGAAGGAAGGAAGGAACATACTTTATTTACAGCAGCTCATTGTCCGAGCCGCGTTTTTTGGTTTTACCGCTTCTATATGGTGTTTGTAGTCAGGTTACGAGAAGTGTCCGTCCTAGCTTGCATGCTCGTTGTTGTTGCATGATGTTAATCCGAGGACATGTTCGACATGGTTCTGCAGTTGTTTCCATAAGGTAGCTTGCAGGTCCTGTGGCGGTGCTGCCCAGCTCTCCCACGTGTGGGGGATGTGGAGTGGT